TCTTTTGCCCCAATAATCATCTTAGGCTTCCTGTGAGTGCATTTCCCATTTCCCTCTCCCTTCTATCTCCCTACTCTCTTCACCCAGTGTCCATAATTTTATGAGGATTCCATCACCAGCACATCCAGCTCCCCCACCCCCGATCAGAAAAGGATCACCCCTAAAGTTCCAGACATCAAAGCATCAAAGATCTTAGCAAAGCAGAAACTATAGGGTGTGATGTGGAGATAAAAGACCCAGGATATAAGATTTGGAAGAAGGAGCAGTACAAAAGTTCTCTTTTATGAAAAACTTGTAAAGGAGGGAAAAAAAGAGGGGGGGTGACATATGAAGTAAAGAAAGACATACCAGTGACTCTGAACATTTATATAAAGCATGTGCACAACATGCATTATTACATTTGTGCCATATACAAATAAGGTGGATCAGTAACTGATACTAGATCAGTTTTAAAGTAATGGTACAATGTAAAGGAAAACAAAAGTCCTGAATACCTTGGCCAGGTTGTACTAAGTCCTGCCCTCCATACAGATGTCTCAGTGTCACTCTTATCTTTGTACTCTTTCAGGAGGTCACTGAAAAATGCAGTCTAAAGCAGGCTTGATCTAAAACAGGGTTCTCAGAAAACTTCTGCCAGGATTCTGCAAACCTGAGCAGCCAGGGTTCCAATACAGCCCAAGGCTGCTTTCCAGTCTGGGCTACTGGGAGACAATGCAGTTAAAAAGAAAAGACTCAACACTTTTTCAGAATCAGGCATGACAATATCTGGTCTCTACTCCCTATAGTTTGCTTTACTGGAGGCAGAACCTGATCAAGAAAGAGTGCCTTCTACCAGGTTGGACTCCATTACTTTCCCATGATGCCCTGTGAGACGGTTACAGTCATGCCGAATTAATAAACACCATTTAATTTGGGTACTTTCAGAAAGAGCCCTTATTTTTCTATCTCATTTTGGTGGGAGTATTATTTTTTCCTCAATATATCACGAAGACTGGTTAATTTCTAAAATGTTTGAAAGTGGTTTAGAATTATAATAATGCAAGTAGACCTCAAGTATACCAGAAAGTGGGGGAGGGGGAAGAAACTACACATTCATATAAATATTTGGTCAAATAACTTTAGTCAATAAATGGAAATTACATACCCCTTGTGCATAATGCACACATCACTGCCATAAGAATTGCTTTGAGACTATTCTGAACTCATCAAGTATCTCCATAATGTTCCATATGCCTTTCCACCACTATTACTAAATGCTTGGGCCACTTTCTTGCTAATTCTTTACAAACACTCTTTTCACCTGTGATGACATAAAGGCCAATAACAACAAACCTCGGGTACTTGACAATTTGGCACTGGTCAACCTTATTAACTTTCATGTGAGTTTCTACAAATAAGGATTACTGTTTTCTGAGATCCACATAGTTAGGGTTAAACTTAGTACTTTGTGCCAACCATTGTTCCAGGCACGTTATATACAATAATTGTCAAAACAAGCCTATGAAATGGCCACAAGTAGTTTAGGAAGAAGAAGGGGAACAAGGGAGTTCACTTAGCCATTACTCAGCAATAATCAATTTTTTATCTAAAATGTCTACAGGCAGTAAGAAAAATATCTAAACAGACAATAAAATGAATATAAACTTCCTACAACACTTTTTTCATATATAATAATATTGGCTTCCTGTCTATAGAAGACAAATTCTATTTCCCTTCTGATTCATGTACCCAAAATTGGTTCAAATTTTATCTGCTAGTAAGAGTTCAAAAGGAAGAACAAATATAAATGACACATTTCTTTTAGACTGAGCATAACTAACTTACTGGCCTTGACACCCAGGTGTAGTGGGCTCAATTAAATCACAAAAAGCCTAAATCAGCACTGGAATCCTACTACCACTTTGTATGAATTTTTGGAAGTTTTTTTAAATTTCAATTTTTTTAATGTTTATTTCATTTTGAGGGAGAGAAAGAGAGAGTGTTAGAGGGAAGGGGGAGAGGATCTGAAGCAGACTCTGCACTGACAGCAGAGAACCTGAGGTACAGCCTGAACTCAGGAACTGTGAGACCGTGACCTGAGTCGAAGTCGGACGCTTAACCAACTGAGCCACACAAGTGCCCCAGGAGTTGTTTTTGTTTTGTTTTTTTAAACTTTCATTGCCACCATTCAGAAAGTTTCCAGAAAGGTTAAAAAAGTAAAATGAGAAGAAAGTCAAAAGCTGCAAAAGCTGAAGAGACCATACTGGGACTGACCCCTCTCCCCCGCAAGAGAAACGTGAGAATTTACATAATACAGAGACCTGAAGAACCAATTGGAGCAAAGTGACATGGGAGTGAGGATTTTGTGGGGAGTGGTAAAACATGGACAAAAAGCACTACTGTATTTCCATTGTAGCTCATAAGGAAGGCCTGGGACACCCACAGGATTGTATATCACAGAAAAGTATTTAGAAAATGCTAAAATGGAGTCAAAATAGGTGTTGCTGTCATGCTAGTTAACACAAATTAATTTATAACTTATAACTGGCCTGTTGGCTATCTGCTTTTGAAAAGAAAATGTGAGAAGACTAAGTCCACATTTCCTTTCAGATTAACTTCTGTAAGCCCTCACTGATTTTCTCTTGATTTATGACAAGACCATTGTAATGATATTTCCCAACTCTTCAATTTAACCTTTGAATTAATCACCTAAGTAATAGAGAACTTTCAATTGTTTCGTTTCTTAATACTCACAGGATAAAGTTCAAAGTCTTCAGCATTGCATATCTATCTTGTTCCTTTCCTAGTTACTCTCCCAGATGTACCATTCAAAGACAGGTCCTCCCTTCACAATTTCCACCTGCCCTTGACCAAACAACTCTGTCTCTGTTATGGTCAAATCCCAAGCCTACCCTATGTGTCTTGGCTGCTGTAGGTGCAGCCTTCATTTCCTCCAAATGCCATGTAATTTCATGCTTCTCTGTCCCTGCATATGTTACCCCGTCTGGCTGAAAAGCCTTTCCTTGCATCTCCCCAATTTTTTTTTTGCTTCAATTCACCCTTTAGAACTCAGTCTTACATTATCTGGGAAGCTTTCCTGATACTGTTACCCTTGGGTGGTGGGTGGGTCAGATGCTTTTTGGACACCACACTAGACTTTAAAATGCTTCATCACTTCTAGCTGAGTAACCTTGGACAAGTTCATTAATTTCACTGAGCCTGTCTCTTCATAAAGAGAATGATATCACTATGAAAGAATGTGAAAAATCACTTTATAAACAGTAAAGCACTATGCAAGCACTAACAATTTTATCATAAACCAAAAGAGTACACAACATTCTAGGTGAACATACTTTAGTCAATTTAAGGGTAGGATTCATTCATTCTTTGGTCTCCAGACTCCTCTCCAAGGATGCCCTGCAAAGTTTTACCCAACTTTTTGGCTCCACTAAGTCCTGTTCTTCTATACTCAAAGGAAAAAAATCTATAGTGATGTCTAGGACATTTGAAAAGACTAAGTGGAAAACTCCTGAAGAGTAAGGATTGTCCTTTCTTCCACCTTACCCATGCCTTCACAAGACTACTGTATTATGCACACACAAATACTTGGCAAGAAGTAAAGAGCTGAATGAATGAATAAATGAATGAGTGAACATAAGCATACCCCATCCTTAGTGAGCTTGTAATTAAAGGGAGTGATGTGACAAATCCCATATGAATCTGGCCTTGTGAAAATGTTAACAAATGCCTTCAATGTCAGTGAGAAATTTAATTTTCTGCCATGCTTATTTTATTTGGTGACTTGATACATACTGTAATTGCTAACTTAGGGACTCAGGCTTAACATATGAATGTTTTAACATTATCAGAATCACCCATGCAATTCAATACCTATTTATTAAATATCTACTGCACTAGGCTCAATGAAAGTATGAAGATAAAGGTGAACTCTGCCCATAAATTGCTTAAAATACAGAAAGGAAGCTAAGTCACCAATATATATTAATACAAAATAGAATATTATAAAATACATGGAAGACCTAAGGCTAGTAACAGTCAATGAAGACATCTGAGTTAAGGCACTAGGCCCATAAAACTAAAACTATATATTACAAATTATTGGTGGCCAAAAGTTTCATTACAGTAGAATATACATATATTACATATGTAACATTTCTTTTAATCTAATTTAATTACAAACTTATTTGTGTTGTTATCTAATTGAAGAAGAACCATTGTTAACTTCTATCACACGTGTGCCAAGCACAGTTTCCAGCCAGTTAGGTACATTATTTCATTTACTCTACGACGTAGATACAAGTATCCCTATTTTATAAATGAGGAAACCAAGGCATAGGCCTTGCCACTTTTCAAGGTTAGGAGGCAAATTGAGAATACGTAAACAAGAACCTAAGAGACAAAAACGAGTATTCCACAGAGAGTGAGCGGACCCATTTGCCAGCACTGCTTTTCATTTCTCCCCAACGCACCCGGTGGAAACCACCTATCTCCTTTTCTTTCCCGCTGTACTGTTTTTTTGTTTTTTTTTTTTTTTTTTTTTTTTCTTCCCGAGCCCATAACTGTTGATTCTCGTGCAGATCACCTCAAGCATTCCCACTTCAGAGGACAGGCTGCTCTTTAAATCATAGGCAGTTCAGAGTAAATAAGACTGAATCAGATCCCCAGGTGGACAAAGCTCAGGTAGGATCACGAAATTAAACCTTCGGGCTGGACATCCGTTCCTGGATCACCTCCAAGGGATGGCAGCAGCACCCAGCTCACCCAGGAGGCGCTACCCTGGCGGTATCTTCTCCTACTGACCCCACGCGGCTTGTATTTTGCCATCTGGTCATTCACCCTTCACCTGCCGGCGCTGCGGGTCTAATCTCCATCCTGCTCCTACCAAACGCCAGGCCTCAAACGCCTCCCTCTCCGCGGCGGTCAATCCCGAACCCACCCGGGTGCTCCTCGGCCCCCGCAGCAGCAGCCCGTCCCGCTCCCTCCCCCGGCCGGCTACTCACGGTTCCAGTACACCGGGTAGCACTCTCCTTGGGTCACATCCACCTCGTACAGGCCGCCCCGCACACACACCCGCTCGATGTTCACCAGCTCCTCCATCTCGGGCTCGTGCCCCGCGCCGCGCGGGCAGAAGCCGCAGACGCGGTCCTCATCGTCGTCCTCCCCCGAGCTGGAGGCTGGGCCGCACACAGGGTCGCCGTCCGGGTCCCCGGCCCGGGGCAAGCCACCCGTGGCCTGCAGCAGCGTTCGGAAAGCGAGCTCGATGCGGAGCGAGTCATAGCCGATGAAGGGCTTCCAGGTCTTCTTGTCCTCCTTGTAGAACCAGCGAACCTCCTCCGGGCCAAGCTCGGTCACTACCTCGTAGCGATGCCGGGCGGCCGCGCCGCCAGGCCGGGTGCGCTTCCTCTCCCCGAGCCCTCCTCCCGCCGCCCCGCTGCCCCCAGCGCTCGACGGGACCAGCGGCGGCTGGGGCGGCGGGTGCAGCGACGAGGAACTGCCGCCGCCGCCACTCTCGCCTTCGCTGTAGTAGCGCAGCGAAGAACCGGACTCCGCGGAGCTGAAGTCGTAGGTCTCATCACTGAGACAGGAGTCGAGCGTCAGGTGGTGGTTGTGGTCCTCCGCGCCCGACGCCAAGTGCAGCCCCGGCTCTCCGCGCAGCAGGGCCAGGGGCACCTCGCCGTCGCCCGGGTCCCCGCCGGGCAGGTGGTCGAAGCAGCACACGCCGCCGCCGAACGCCGGCTCCGCATCTGAGCCCAGCTCCCAGGCTGCGTTGCCGCCGCCCCGGCCGTTATGCTCAGGGCTCCGCGGAGACCCGCGGCCCGGGTAATTCATGGTGTGGAGACGCCGCCGGCTGCCCGGCCCCGCGCCGAGCCGCGGCCCCCAGCGCTTCCGCCACACATTCAACGCCGTCGCCCTCTCCACCGGTAGTTTTTAATCTTTCAAATCCCAACCGGGGCTGCGGCGGCAGCGGCAGCAGCAGCAGTGGCTCCACCCCTCCGAGGCCAGCGGCAGCCGCAGGCACGTTCCAAGGCCCGCCCCATTGTCGCGCAGCCCGACGTGGGCGGTGCTTAGCGCCGGCCCCGCCCCTAGGGCCGCGCGCGCCGCACCGGAAGCATCTCGTCTGCCCGCGCCTGGCATTAGCCTCGTGGCTCTCCCCTCTGGCCTGCGGTAGTGGGTCAGCTCAGGGCACCTGCAACTCTTAGGATTTCTCAATTCTCTTACGCCTCCCCTTTCTTCTCCCTGCACACCTGCCTCGGCCCCCGCCTTTCTGAGGTTCAGAGCCCAGATGAGGAGAAGCTTTATCCCACTCATCCTGGCAATCTGGGTCATGAGCCCAAGGGCTTAAGGTACAGGAGAGGGCCCCTGGAAGTTGGGTTCTCCTGACACTGCTTTTGTGATCTTAGGTCCTCATTTGGACCTTCTCAGTCACCTAGCTCTGGTTCCTCCAGAGCTGTAGGCCCACACGAAGGCACCCCACCGCATACGTGCGATCTCTAATGTTGACATCACCAATGCCACTCAGAAACCAGAGTCTAAACCTCTCTTCAGGGGCGCCTGGGTGGCGCAGTCGGTTAAGCGTCCGACTTCAGCCAGGTCGCATCTCTGTGGTTCAGAGTTCCGAGCAGCGTCAGGCTCTGGGCTGATGGCTCAGAGCCTGAGCCTGTTTCGATTCTGTGTCTCCCTCTCTGCCCCTCCCCTCTGCTCATGCTCTGTCTCTCTGTCCCAAAAATAAAATAAACGTTGAAAAAAAAAATTTAAAAAAATAAAAAAAAAAAAAATAAACCTCTCTTCAGAAGCCACCTCATATTATTGTTTATTTTTCGATACTTGTTTCCTGTTTTCTCAACCTCACTGTTAGGCCATCGGTGGAGACCAAGTCCATATGTCTCAACCTCTCCCACACAGTGGGTGCATAATCAACGTTCATTATAATGATGGCAAGTGCAACCGATTGTGATAGATTATTATTTTGAAAGCCAGAAAACATTAGGTTCTAGACTTAGTTTTACTAGCTAACCACAGGCAAGTCACTTCATCTCCTTGATCTTTTTGGTTTTCTCATCTGTAAAATGAAGTGATTATTGAACCAGATGATCTCTAAAATGTCTTCCAGCAATGGAATTCTATGATCCAACAGTTTCTTCATGTTCTTTACGCATCTCTGATTCTGCAGCTTACTTTCTGGGATCAGATTGAATGCTGAAGCTCCCCTATGTAGTTATTTTATACTACAAAAAAGTAATTTTATGAGCACATCACCCTATGTTGAGAATCCAGAGAAAAACAATCTCCAACCTCAGTGTTCTCAATTCATGACCAGACAGTCTTCACTGTTTCTTTTACTCCTTTGGTGGAGGAATCAGATTCCTGGGGCAGTTTTTCTTGCCTTGTGATCTAACCTGTTAGATTAAGTCATAATTTAAAGCAGGATGGTCTCTAGCTTGTACAGTGTTAGATTAATTTGAAAGGACATTGCTTCCTGTGTGCAAGGTAAGATACAAAACAGTGTTGCAATTCATATCTTGGAAAGCAGAGTATGGTTTGTTTTGCTCCAATTTGTGCCATTGCCCAAATGATAATTTTATGTAGTGAACAACCTGTCCGACTGAACACTGCAGCCCTGACTCAAACATCTAAGATCAGAACCCTCATCTCCATTTATACTGCTTTCTGAATGCTTGCTTTTCAGTTTCTTCTCCAGTCTTTCTATGACAACATGCAGAATATGAAGTTTAGTTATGAGCTTTGCTCTGTTTACTTCCCATGAAAGTATTTATTCTACAGTGCTTTGATAGTCACTTTTGTTCTGGGTGTCAATAAAAAAGAGAATGGGAGAGACTCAGTTCCTTCTTTAAGGACCTTATAGTCTAGTGGGGGATATAGGCAAATAAACAGATACATTAGCGTAGGGTGTGATAAGTACCATGAAGTGGATTCAAAGTAAGAGATATAACGTTTAAAATATGTCTATTTCTTTAGGTTTCTTGATGGAGCATAGCCTACCCGTATGACTTCTGATTATTTTAGCCAAATGTTAACTCATTAGGACCATACAATTCCTATTAATGAATATCATCCTTTATAAAAAAAGATTACTCTCTACCTTGTATTAAATGCATATTTCTATTGTTTAAATGTTGTGATCATATCAAGATTTCCACCATTTTTCTTTAGTTCTCTGGCATAGGCAATCTTGATAGTAAACCGTGGGTAGTGGTTTTCACAATCTTGAATTTCACTTTTCCCCATAATGTTTTCACCATCTTGGGGACTCCTGTCCCCTAATCTGGGAGTTATCCTCTTCTGGTCCATTGTGTAAGGCCATACTCTTTTAGGTAGCCTTAAGAGGCTCTTGATCCTCAAAGATGATGAAAAAAAAAAAAAAAAAAAAAAAAAAAAAAAAAAAAAAACCAAACAAACCCCACAATCCAGTTGACAGGAGAAGGGATCCCACATTCTTTTCTGATTTCACTATTTTGGTTTAGACTTTGGTGAAGGGAGATGTCACTCAGTATTTTGGGGAGTTGAGATTGCTTCTGCCTCTTGGAAGTGAGCCGAACTAGAAGGACAGACCCGTGTGGCTGGCCCCAGGCTGACAGTGAGTAAAAGATACGTGAAAATATAATTTCTAATTTCGTGCAACTGTATGTGCTTATTTGCTTGTTATTCCTTAGCCATGTCGAGGCAAAGGCCATGAAGTTGCTCTTCTCAGCTTCCTTTTCTGCTTAAAAAAAATCATCCTTCCTGCTACTACTCTCCTACTTTTGCTCTTTTGAGTATCTTTTTAGATCATAATATCCTGATAAGGGGGGGAAGGTTTCCTCTGTGCAGTCCGAACTTGTTGGCATAGGTGTCAGGTGGCTCCTTATCACTACTCTACATTATAATTGTATGCAGTTGACACAGCAGTATCTGAACATTCATGGTATGTGTGTAAAGCATTATATTATATTTTAGTCATTACCCAAGATCAAGCCTCCTACGGGTAAGCCAAATAAGTTTGATTGATTCAGACTTCTGGTATTTGTGTATCTAGGCTGCTGCAATAACCAGGTGGAGGTGGAACCAAGCCTGGGGGAGTTCCTGTGGGCGTGGGAGAGAAAAAAGAGGCAAAGGCAGGTGGTTTGTACTATTAAAGACTGAAGTAATTCATCTGCACATCCTGCCATCTTCTCTTCCCCATTAGGTATATATGACTGGGGCTATCTAGCAACAACAACCATCTTCCCCTCCTTATCTCTCGAAAGTTACATGGTGCAATTTTATACCCCCTTTCCCTTTTCTTCTCTAAGGTTTCCCTGTTTCTCATTTTAATCCATTTTCACCTGTATAAAAATATCAGGAGTAGCCTTATGCCATGTGGTTTATACTGAGCCAATAACCCACACCCATATTTGAAATGACTTTGTCCAAAGTATGTGATGGAAAATTTAGAATGAAGAAAGAGGGTGGCTATATAGCTATACCCCTATCTGCTCTACCTCTGATTTGATAAGCCATCCACTACATTACAATTTTTATTGTACTTTTTATTTTTGTAGGATTACTATTTATCCAGTTTGAATGTCCTAGTGTTTTCATGCTACTTTAACAAAATACCATAAACTGCATAGCTTATCAACAATAAACATTTATTTCTCACAGTTCTGGAGGCTGGGAAGTTCAAGATCATGGTGCCGGCAGATGTGTGTGGTGAGATCTTCATGGCTCATAGACAGTTATCTTTTCATTGGGTTTCCATGTATCAGAAGGAACGAGGGAGCTCTGCGAGGCTTCTTTTATAAGGGCCCACCTCCTAACCCCATCACCTTGGGGATTAGGATTTCAACATGTGAATTTAGGAGGGTGCACAAACATTCAGACCATGACAGAGGGTGTCTTCTTTGGGTGTACAGGTTAAATGGAATGATAAACTAGACTAAAGCAGGGAAGATTCATTGAATATATATTAGTTATTTGCTAAGTTCCAGGTACTAGCTAGGCCCTACAGTGAAGCATTCCCAGTCTAGAGGTATCTTTAAATAAACCCAGAATGCCAACTTTTTAGCTTCTATAAGGAATATAGTTGTAATGCAGAATGACCACAGAAGTCATTCTTTCCCTAAAGACAGATCAATAGAGGAAGCCAAATTACAATAAAAATGTAGCTATGTGAGCAGAAATAACATACGAAAACATAATGAATAAAGTCATTCATCCTTCTATTTATTCATTCAACAAATATTTGTTGTCTACTGCTATTTTGCTGATGGTTTGTTTTGTGTTAATTAGTGTCACACTTAAAATGTAGAATTATCAAATGCATTTACTTAAAGATTTGGAAGAGGTCTGGCCACAAAATTGTTCCTACCAAAACCCCATAAATTTTTTTTAATGTTTATTTATTTTTGAGAGAGAGAGAGAGTGCAAGTAGGGCGGGGGCAGAGAGAGGGGGAGAGAGGATCCAAAGAGGGCTCTGCACTGACAGCAGCAAGCCCAGTGTGAGACTTGAACTCAGGAACTGCGTGATCATGACCTGAGCTGAAGTGGGGTGCTCAATCAACTGCACCACCTAGGTGCCCCCCAATTTTTTTTATATTCCTTCTGGAAATAAAGGCCAATGGCATTGAAGGTATATATTCAAATGAAACAGATTGCAGATCAATACAATATTGATGCATTCTTAATGGAGGAAACCACAAAATCCTTAGCTTGTTTACATCGGAAAAGAAGATTTGGCTATATCCCTGCCCTTTCATTATAGAAAAGCGAGTTAGACTATGACCATAGGCTATTGTGAGGTCTGCATTATGCATCCACTGTGGATGCATTTGATGACTTTTGTGCTCCAG